TTGAGAGAAACTTTGGTGTAATTGACCCTGGTCAGTCAATCGACTGCTCTTCCCTCTGCCAGCCTCTAGCTGACTCGACGGTTAACCTGTCAACTTCTAGTGAATCTTTGTTTTCATTTCAACAATAAACTATCTGTGATGTGCTAGATGCTTTGCTTAAGATTGATGTAAAACAAAATCCACTGGAGCTGATAAGCTTGATCCATTTTTGCTGCAGCTCTCTGCCCCCGATTGCTGAATCCTTAACCCATATTTTTTACCTAACGATTTTATCTGGTACAAGGTTTGGAAGGTGGTCCCTGTCCTCCCCCTTCACAAAGGTGGTGAGCCTTGTGACCTAAATAATTAGCAGCCTATTTCTAAACTTCCTTGCCTAGCTAAAATATTAGAATCCTTGATTAATTCTCAGCTAAGATCTTTCTTATCTTTGAAATGTATTCTAAATGTACATCAGTCAGGGTTTAGACCAGGTCATAGCATTATCTCTGCTGCATCCTTAGTTATAAACGATGTGGTTAACTGTATGGATAAAAGGCAACATTGTGCTGCCCTCTTCATTTACCTGTCAAAGGCTTTCAATACTGTTGATCACTCACTGCTAATTCAGTGGCTTTCCTCAATTGGCCTAGACCAGGCTGCATGTAACGGTTGACCAGGGCATCAGTGGCATGTATTCATGGATGCCAAGGGAAGCCAGGCTTCCCCCCAAAAAACTGACCAATATATATATATATATTTTTTTTAATAAAATAATGTATCTTTCGTCTCTCTGTGTTTCATCATTTTCCTTCAATTCGCAAGACGCTTAATGTATCTCACAGGAGAAAGCATCCAAGCGAGCGAAACAGCGCCCCTCTGTCTCTCTACGTATAGGCCATCGATCCGATGATGTCTGGTCCAAACGAGTATGACATTGTTGCCACCCGTAGCATTGAAGGCAAGGGAAGCCAGCGAGCATCTGGCCTCCCTTGACAAAGAAAGTATTTAAAAAATTGCCAATCAGCCCCTGGCCTGAGAGGACGGAAGTTCAATATGTAGCTAGATGTAGAAGGCTAATGTTAACTAGCTAACGTTGCCCATGAATGGAAGTTAGACTAGCGAGCAAGCATTTTAGCCAGGTAGCCTAGGACAACAAAAAATAAAAGCGTGTACTGTATGACAGAGTGATAGACCATTTCATCAACAAGAAAGAGAGGAGGATGGCATTGGCGTTTCTCTACAAGTAGGGTGAGTCAACATGTTTTTCTACTTGCACGAACGCGCACGCACACACACGCACACAGAAGTCAGAACCATGGACAGCCACATCATATTTAGCTTACGTTGATTGGACTAAATTGTTTTTGGTATCTTTTAGTTTTAGTCACTGTTGAAATGTTGAAGTTGAAATGGTGCTGTAATAGTGGCGGCAGCTCCTGTTTTCTTTGCGACTTGCAGTAACTCTCTGTGGTTCTAAATCAATAGTTGTTTAGGTGGTCCGAAATTGTAACTTGCTTGACCATGCTGTAGGTAGGTAATGTAACTGGTACTGTACATGCAATATGCTTTGTGGACTTCATTGGACAGAGGTTGCTATCCGGTTTTGTGATAAAACAAAGGTGTGGTTGAATTTATTCTGCCACTGTGTCTTCTAATTGTCTCGGGCTTTAAGCCTATATATCACGGTCGCAAGGCATCTGAATTAACAGGATAAATTATAGAGCAAACAACGCAATTATCACAACACATAGGTTGTAGTATGGCTTTTTTGGGTGGGGGGGCTTGGGTTCCCCAGTGATTTTACCCACGCACCGCTACTGCTGGGCATCTGGATAGATGAAAAGCATTATTTTAAAAAACATATTGTTAAGTTAAGAAGCTGAGAATAAAAATGACCTTCTTCTATAGCAATAGGTCTTGCCTCTCGCTAAATAGTAGAAAGAAGATTAAACAGTCGACGTTCCTATAGGTCCTAGACAGGGTTGGGTAGGTTACTTTCTAAATGTAATCCGTTACAGTTACTATTTACCTGTCCAAAATTGTAAATCAGTAATGTAACTTTTGGATTACCCAAACTCAGTATCGTAATCTGATTACATTCAGTTACTTTTAGATTACTTTACCCTTAGGCATTAGCAGAAGACAAAAATGTATGTTACCAATTGAACGACATCTATTGCAGGATAAATCAATGTTAAAATGTACATAACTGGCCATATATGGATGTTACATTTTACTTTATGGGTTGGTTATGTAGGCTTCTTCTAACCCATCGCTTTCTACTACATTTAATAATACGATTAAATTATATCTTTACAAAAATTGATGTAGCAACTACAGATTGACCCTTTAAGTCTATCAAACGTGTGGGAGTTTGAGCACGTCTCCATTAGGCCTATGGATTATGTTTTTTTATCAGCATGAATTAGATTGAGCAATAAAAGCCCCACTTTTATTCCATAGGCTTGGATCCGCATGCAGCAGCTGTTGCAAGAGTGTATTCTTCAGTGGCTGTCCACTGGTTTCAAAAACAATGATTGATAGGCAGCTTAAACTTCTTGAATTCAACCATTATTGGGTTCAAATACACATTTATATTTGTGAACAGCCATCCACAACAACCACAATCCGTAAGGCGCAAATAGCTAGATGAGAGAGCAGCAGTGTGATTCACATCAATGCGCTATGTACAGTCGTGGTGAAAAGTTGAGAATGACACAAGTATTGGTCTTCACAAAGTTTGCTGCTTCAGTGTTTTTAGATATTTTTGTCAGATGTTACTATGGTATACTGAAGTATAATTACAAGCATTCCATAAGTGTCAAAGGCTTTTATTGACAATTACATTAAGTTTATGCAAAGAGTCAATATTTGCAGTGTTGACCCTTCTTTTTCAAGACCTCTGCAATCTGCCCTGGCATGCTGTCAATTAACCTCTGGGCAACATCCTGACTGATGGCAGCCCATGTCAGAATTTGTGGGTTTTTGTTTGTCCACCCGCCTCTTGAGGATTGACCACAAATTCAATGGGATTAAGGTCTGGGGAGTTTCCTGGGCATGGACCCAAAATGTCGATGTTTTGTTCCCCGAGCCACTTAGTTATCACTTTTGCCTTATGGCAAGGTGCTCCATCATGCTGGAAAAGGCATTGTTCATCACCAAACTGTTCTTGGATGGTTGGGAGAAGTTGCTCTCGGAGGATGTGTTACCATTCTTTATTCATGGCTGTGTTCTTCGGCAAAATTGTGAGTGAGCCCACTCCCTTGGCTGAGAAGCAACCCCACACATGAATGGTCTCAGGTTGCTTTACTGTTGGCATGACACAGGACTGATGGTAGCGCTCACCTTGTCTTCTCTGGACAAGCTTTTTTCCGGATGCCTCAAACAATCGGAAAGGGGATTCATCAGAGAAAATGACTTTACCCCAGTCCTCAGCAGTCCAATCCCTGTACCTTTTGCAGAATATCAGTCTGTCCCTGATGTTTTTCCTGGAGAGAAGTGGCTTCTTTGCTGCCCTTCTTGACACTAGGCCATCCTACAAAGGTCTTTGCCTCACTGTGCGTGCAGATGCACTCACACCTGCCTGCTGCCATTCCTGAGCAAGCTCTGCACTGGTGGTGCCCCAATCCCGCAGCTGAATCAACTTTAGGAGACAGTCCTGGCGCTTGCTGGACTTTCTTGGGCACCCTGAAGCCTTCTTCACAACAATTGAACCTCTCTCCTTGAAGTTATTGATGATCCGATAAATGGTTGATTTAGGTGCAATCTTACTAGCAGCAATATCCTTGCCTGTGAAGCCCTTTTTGTGCAAAGCAATGATGACGGCATGTGTTTCCTTGCAGGTAACCATGGTTAACAGAGGAAGAACAATGATTTCAAGAACCACCCTCCTTTTAAAGCTTCCAGTCTGTTATTCTAACTCAATCAGCATGACAGAGTGCTCTCCAGCCTTGTCCTCGACAACACTCTCACCTGTGTTAACGAGAGAATCGCTGACATGATGTCAGCTGGTCCTTTTGTGGCAGGGCTGAAATGTAGTGGAAATGTTTTTGGGGGATTAAGTTCATTTTCATGGCAAAGAGAGACTTTGCAATTAATTGCAATTCATCTGATCACTCTTCATAACATTCTGGAGTATATGCAAATTGCCATCATAAAAACTGAGGCAGCAGACTTTGTGAAAATTAATATTTGTGTCATTTTCAAAACTTTTGACCACGACTGTAGATATCAATAATAAGTGATATCCGTATCGCCGTAGACTAAACCACTCCTGTCATCCTTACCTCCAAGCGTTTAATCAAATTGGATAATCTTTGGATGCTGACAGTAGTCGCACCATTGGAAGACATAGCTTGGACTGTAGCCTACAAAAGCCTATTCCTGCTCTTTTCCCGCGATCCATCAAACACATTTTGTGTGTCATCATAGTGGTCTCTGATTTGTGGTAAGACTTGCTCAAGTGGAACAAACTTAAAATGTGCGGCTTTTTTCATATGCTGATTTCAACGTAATTGAAAAAAAACAGAGAAGTGTCAAAGATTATTTTTTCGCAAACATCCTGAATTTAAAAGTAATCCTCAAAGTAATCATCATTTTTTTCAAAAGTATCTGTAATCAGATTACAATATTTTAGATGGTAACGGATTAGTTACCCGTTTTTTGTAATCCCTTACATTTAACGGATTACATGTAATCCGTTACTCCCCAACCCTGGCGACAATCTAAAGAGGACCCAAACTAATTAAAATAATTTAACGTATTGTAGGAAGGCCATGACTGATCTCACACTCCAGTACAGTAGATGGCAGTGTACGCACCTTAAAAGTTGGATGCGATCCGCAAACCTCAAAGAATAAGAAACTAGCAGCGAAACAGAACTACACGGGCTACATTTTAGCTAGCATTTTTAAACTAAATTATTAGCCCACCAGTAGCATATTAACGTTACTTAGATAGAAAGTTCCAATATTTTGTAGGAGTACGACAGAGCTCTGTTTAGATTTCTTAAACATTTGAAAATGTTGAGCAGTGTTTCTCTACGGGAACAGATCGCTTCCATCATAGAGGTACTTTCTAAAGCTGCCGTTGCAGAAATTAGCAAAGTAGTCGACGATGACATAGTTGTGTTACGTGTGGAAATGTGTCAACGGGAAAATGAAATAAACGTCCTGAAAAAGAATTTACAACAACTTGACAGCGAGCTTCGAAGAGCTCGAGCTCGTGGGATTCAAGCTCGAAGACGCATCCATAATGGTCGATCAGTCGCTGCTGAGAATCTTGGGAGAGAAGGTGGGTACGCTTACGTAGTAGTAGCAACTATTATCAAAAAATAGTTAGCAATCGTTAACTATGCATGTAACATTGGTCAACTAGCAATATCACAATTTTGCAGGTAAACAATGTAGGCTTATTTAATCAGCCTACTCACGTTCACATTGAACCAGAATCTGGGTTTACAGGAGACGTTGAATACGTTGATTCTCCTTAAGCCCAGGACGCAGCCATTCACTAGCTTTTCAAGATTCAAAATTTAAAAATAGGTACGGAACTTACTAAAGAATGTAGTTTAATTTCGTTACGGCCGGTATGTACTTCCAAAAAAGCTCTAAATAAAAAGTTACATGCAACCGAAAAAATGTATTGTCTGGAAATAATTTAAGTATTGTTTTTGACCAAGTGCGCATGCACCTCTTCTGAACCTCCTGCAATATTTGTAATGTAATTAAAATACACTAAATAAAGCCTATCTAGAAATGTACAATCACTGTAAAAACGTACACTATTGTCTACTTACATTAAATATTATTGCGTGTAGCGCCGGTGAAACAGATTGATATCATGTTCATACACTGTTGTAGGGGATAAAACAGAGATCTGTATATAGTGACGAGATGCTCATGTCTCCGGCCTAACAATGGGGGGAGTCGTCCCAAAGGCGGGAAGGCAAGCGATAAGCTTAGGTCAAAATAACACCATGGAAACGAATTGGGCTTATTTTGGACAGGTTTTGGCGAGAGTGAAACCTCATGTTTTAGCACCTCTTCTCTAGCCGCCTCCTCTCTGAATAAAATCTATTACCTCTCCTCCTGCAAAATTAGCGGATCTGTGCGTGGCAGTAATGTGTGATAGGGGTGGCAGGTAGCCAAGTGAGCGTTGGACCAGTTATCGAAATGTTGCTGGTTCGAATCTCTGAGCTGACTGTCGATCAAATCAAACACATGCACCTAATACAACAGGTATTCACCTTACAGTGAAATACTTACTTACAAGCCCTTAACCAACAATGCAGTTTTTAAGAAAAGGGAAAAAAAGTGTTAAGTAAAAAATAGATAAAAAAATAGCAAATAATTAAAGAGCAGCAGTAAAATAACAGTAGGGAGGCTATATACAGGGGGTACTGGTACAGAGTCAATGTGCGGGGGTACAGGTTAGTCGAGGTAAAAGAGGTAATATGTACATGCAGGTAGGGGAAATGTGACTATGCATAGATTATAAACAACGAGTAGCAACAGTGTTAAAAAAAGAAATGGGGGGGAGGGGGGTGAATGAAAATAATCTGGGTAGCCATTTGATTAATTGTTCAGCAGTCTTATGGCTTGGGGGTAGAAGCTTTTAAGGAGCGGTGATGCAACCGGTCAGGATGCTCTCGATGGTGCAGCTGTATAACTTTTTGAGGATCTGGAGACCCATGTCAAATCTTTTCAGTCTCCTGAGAGGGAATAGGCGTATTCGTGCCGTCTTTATGACTGTCTTGGTGTGTTTGGACCATGATAGTTTGTTGGTGATGTGGACACCAAGGAATTTGAAGCTCTCGACCCGCTCCACTACAGCCCCGTCGATGTGAATGGGGGCGTGTTCAGCCCTCCTTTTCCTGTAGTCCATGATCAGCTCCTTTGTCTTGGTCACGTTGAGGAAGAGGTTGTTGTCCTGGCACCACACTGCCAGGTCTCAGACCTCATCCCTATAGGCTGTCTCATCGTTGTCGGTGATCAGGCCTACCACCGTTGTGTCGTCAGCAAACTTAATGATGGTGTTGGAATCGTGCTTGGCCACGCAGTCGTGGGAGAACAGGGAATACAGGAGGGGACTAAGCACGTACCCCTGAGGGGCCCCTATGTTGAGGATCAGCGTGGCGGATGTGTTGTTGCCTACCCTTACCACCTGGGGGGTGGCCCGTCATGAAGTCCAGGATCCAGTTGCAGAGAGAGGTGTTTAGTCCCAGTGTCCTTAGATTAGTGATGAGCTTTGTGGGCGCTATGGTGTTGAACGCTAAGCTGTAATCAATGAACAGCATTCTCACGTAGGTGTTCCTTTTGTCCAGGTGGGAAAGGGCAGTGTGGAATCAAATCAAATATTATTTGTCAACTGCGGCCTTATGAACGTTGACCTGCTTACTCACATCGGCTACGGAGAGCGTGATTACACAGTCGTCCGGAACAGCTAGTGCTCTCATGCATGCTTCAATGTTGCTTGCCTCGAATGCGAGCATAAAAAGCATTTAGCCTGTCTAGTAGGCTCACGTCACTGGGCAGGTCGCGGCTGGGTTTCCCTTTGTAGCCCTTAATAGTTTGCAAGCCCTGCCAGATCCGACGAGCGTCAGAGCCGGTGTAGCAGGATTCAATCTTAGTCCTGTATTGACTCTTTGCCTGTTTGATGGTTCGTCGGAGGGCATAGCAGGATTTCTTTTAAGCGTTCGTGTTAGTGTCCCGCTCCTTGAAAGCGGCAGCTCTCGCCTTTAGCTCGCTGCGGATGTTGCCTGTAATCCATGATTTCTGGTTGGGATATGTACGTACGGTCACTGTGGGGACAGTCTTTGATGCACTGATTGATGAAGCTGGTGACTGAGGTGGTATACTCCTCAATGCCATCAGATGAATCCCGGAACATATTCCAGTCTGTGCTAGCAAAACAGTCCTGTCATTAGCATCCACGTCATCTGACCACTTCTAAATGAATAAACTAAGCCTTGTTTTTTTCACCATACTAACATTATTTAATGAGAATGCAACTAATATCGTAAATTGATAAACAGAAAAATTGCACGGCGCAAAACTATTATATTGGATATCGCGATATTTGTAGTAACATATCATAGAAGCGGTCTCCCCATCGCCCAACCCTAACAGACACTGATCCATTTTGATTATCATAAAAAAAAACAATGAAGGATTTTGATGACATGCAATACTTATTCATTTCCACAGGGCCAGGTAAAAGCGGTACCACTTGTGTAGGGAGGACCTCGCTTGAGAAACTGCAGACTGGGGAAGATGGTAATGAAAAAGATGACGAAGACATTCGACGTGCAGATGAGACTCGGGTGAAGGCTGAGCCAGGAGTGGAGCTGGAACAGGCAGAGCAAACTACAGGGAGAAAAGACAAAGGTCGTCTGGATGCTGAACTGTCAATGTATGACAGAGACAGCCAGCAGTGGATGTCCAGTTCACAAGAAGAAAATGATATGGAGATGAGCAATTCAGAATATTGTAATAGTTCAGGGCAAAACTCCCAGTGTCTCCCTGATCACTCTCCTGTACCTTCTGGAAATTCCGGAAAGGCGGAAGCATCATGCAGCAGTGTTTCGTTTCCAGGGAAACCATATGTTGATGTAAGAGAGGATATGATTTCACAGCTCAGACAGCCACAACATTATTGGCAGTCAGACATACTCAGGAGAACAAGCGACGGCACAGTACAGTCAAACCCAGACCCTAGAAGTGTATTGGGTTTTGGCTCAAATTATAATGCTGCAAGGAGAGCGAGGACCAAGAGATTTTGCCAGGTTAAGAAACACTTCTTTTGCACACTGTGTGGAAAGAGTTTTGAACGTTACGGTCATCTTGAAAGGCATCTGCGAATTCATACGGGTGAGAAACCATACGGCTGTGACATATGCGGAAGATGTTTCAACCAGAAGAGTAGCCTCAAAGGGCATCTGAAGACTCACAGAGGTAAGAGAATAGAATCCCTATGTAAACAGTACATTGGTTATAGATCATAGACGATTCCATGTCTGTGTACCAAATGACACCCTATTCCCTATGTAGAGCTATGGGCTCTGGTTAAAAGTAGTGCTTTATATAGGTAATTGGGTACAATTTGGAACACTCACTAGATAACACCAATATATTGGTTATTATAGGACATAAACTATTCCATGCCTCATTATTTTATTAATTAAATGTAATATTTCCACACAGTATCGATGGACGTACAAGCTAACAACGAGGAGAAGCCTCCCCTGGATAGACGTCAGTCTGAGGAAGAGCAATTCAACACAAAGAATGAAGTGGTCCAAACTGCTCCTGAGATACCTGTGAAGTCGGAGCCAGGGGAGGAGAAGGATGCATCCCAGACACTGAATCATAAAGGAGAAGAACAGACTGCAGGAAGAGCAGAAGAACTGGCTGCTGACTTGTCATTGTGTGAGAGAGAGAGCCAGTCGTGGATGTCCGGCTCACAAGCAGACAATGATATTGAGACAAGCAATTCAGAATATTTCAGCAGTTCAGGTCACAAGTCACAGTGTCTCCCTGACCACTCACCTTTACATGCTGTCCCAGGAATGGTGGAAGCGTCATGCAGCAGTGCTTCATTTCCAGGAAAACCTTATGTTGATGTCAGAGAGGATATGATTTTGCAGCTCAGACAGCAACATTATGGACCTTCAGACACACTCTTGATAGCAAGTGATGGCACAGTACAGTCAAACTCACAGGGCATGGAAGGGGATACACTGAACCATAGGCCTATCTTCTCTAGTTTTCCAAGGAAAGTGAGAACCTTCCAAGAAGTCACCAAGGACAAGAAGTGCTTCATCTGTTCATTCTGTGGGAAAGTTTTTGAGCGGATTGGTCATCTGCAAAGGCACCAGCGAATTCATACGGGTGAGAAACCGTACAGATGTGAAATATGCGGAAGGTGTTTCAACCAGAAGAGCAGCCTCAAAGGGCATCAGAAGACTCACAGAGGTAAGAGACAAAAATAATATTGATGTTTGTCATACTTTTAATACATGAAAAATGTTAACTCTTAAGTGCATAAATCTGTTAATTCTTCTATAATGAACTAAGGGTGCATCCTAAATGGCACCCTATTCCCTTTTATAGTGTACTACTTTTGACCATGGCCCATAGGGCTCTGATCAAAGTAGTGCACTACATACAGAATAGGGTGTCATTTGGGACAGATACTAAATGTTTTCCTGGTCTCTTTCAGTGGTTTAGGATGAAGTTTAACAGCTAATGTTGGATTGCCATATTGATGTTATAATCAATGCTAAAATATTTGGGACTCTTGTTTTGTCAAGCAGATGGTGTTGAAATGCTAACGGAACAACCTCAACTTGATGATAAGAAGCCTGATGTCCATCCTAGACCCCCAGAGGAAGAGAGGGCTCAGCCCTCACCTGCTGAAGCACAGCCTAGCTCTGGGGACAGTGAAGACAAGGAGGGGGGAAGTGGGCAGGGGTTAGTAGTGAAAGCAGAGCGAGAGAAGGAGTTTAAAGCCCATACAATCAATCTGTCTGGAGATCAACACCAACAAAGCACAGAGCGACCAGGTTATCAGGACGACCCAGAGTATGTCATGGATGAGAGGGAGAGTCAGCTGTGTAGATCTTTTACAGCAGAGAGGCACAATGATAGCGAGTCTGGATCTGTACATCCAGGTTGCTCCTTCGATGGTACAAAGCAGCAGAATTCCCATCCAGTTTCACCCAGTGTCAAATACAATCACAGTCATTTTGATGAAATGCACCACCACGGGTTCTATACGTCAGCATCTAGAGAGGTGGAACTTGAACAATTGTCTTTTCAGGATGAGAAAGACAAGTTGGAAATGATTGAGAAAGAGCAGTATGCAGGAATGGCTCTACATGCAAGGAACAGCAAGGATGGCAATGGGACAATACTACCCAGGTTTCAGGACCAGGTACCACTACCCGTAGAGGAGGAAACGGCAATGAGAGAGTACATCACAGAACCAAACAGTCAAGAAGGCATTTTATTTGCCCTTGGTATAGACGGTTTTGACAGCACAGACAACACAAGAAATAGATGTTTCATATGCTCCATTTGTGGGAAGAGTTTTGATCGCCATAGTCATTTTGAAAGACACCAGCGCACTCATACTGGTGAGAAGCCCTACAGCTGTGAGATATGTGGAAAGAGTTTCACTCAGAAGAGCAGCCTGAAAGCTCATCAGAGACTTCATACAGGGTAGTTAATCAAAGTCCAGATGGGCCTCATCAAAATGCAATCAATACCAGTGTTGTAAAATTAGTATAGGACATATGGCTGCTATTGGTAACAACTTGGTGTTGTTGCAACAATTTAGAAGTCCAACTAAATTGTGTTAAGACTTCATATGTTTGTTTTAAATGGTTGTTTCCATTACACTTGATTAAAAGGAATATTTGAGTAGTGCTTAGTTTATAACGTTGTCATTATCAGGCGTCTCTCCAGTAATGTATAAAAAGTGTTAAAGAAAACCTTTGAATAATGACATGTTTTTATTTATTTTTTTCTGCATCAAACATATGGATCATTTATCCAAGTTAACCTGTTACATAACCTTTTTTTTTCTGAGAAGACCTTGATGTTAGTTGGGTTGCCTACTACAAATTCAAATTATGGAGTTTTTTTAGTCAAGCTACCAAAAAACACAGGAAAATCGGCCTAGTATGAGTTAAATGTGCTTTCTTTCGGGGGGGGGGTTCTGCTTGTACAGTTGAAGTCGGAAGTTTACATACAGTGTGGGAAAAAAGTATTTGATCCCCTGCTGATTTTGTACGTTTGCCCACTGACAAAGACATGATCAGTCTATAATTTTTATGGTAGGTTTATTTGAACAGTTAGACGGAATAACAACAAAGAAATCCAGAAAAACGCATGTCAAAAATGTGCATTTTAATGAGGGAAATAAGTATTTGACCCCCCTCTCAATCAGAAGGATTTCTGGCTCCCAGGTGTCTTTTATAAAGGTAACGAGCTGAGATTAGGAGCACACTCTTAAAGGGAGTGCTCCTAATCTCTGTTTGTTACCTGTATAAAAGACACCTGTCCACAGAAGCAATCAATCAATCCGATTCCAAACTCTCCACCATGGCCAAGACCAAAGAGCTCTCCAAGGATGTCAGGGACAAGATTGTAGACCTACACAAGGCTGGAATGGGCTACAAGACCATCGCCAAGCAGCTTGGTGAGAAGGTGACAACAGTTGGTGTGATTATTCGCAAATGGAAGAAACACAAAAGAACTGTCAATCTCCTCGGCCTGGGGCTCCATGCAAGATCTCACCTCATGGAGTTGCAATGATCATGAGAACGGTGAGGAATCAGCCCAGAACTACACGGGAGGATCTTGTCAATGATCTCAAGGCAGCTGGGACCATAGTCACCAAGAAAACAATTGGTAACATACTACGCCGTGAAGGACTGAAATCCTGCAGTGCCCGCAAGGTCCCCCTGCTCAAGAAAGCAGATATACAGGGCCGTCTGAAGTTTGCCAATGAACATCTGAATGATTCAGAGGAGAACTGGGTGAAAGTGTTGTGGTCAGATGAGACCAAAATTGAGCTCTTTGGCATCAACTCAACTCGCCGTGTTTGGAGGAGGAGGAATGCTGCCTATGACCCCAAGAACACCATCCCCACCGTCAAACATGGAGGTGGAAACATTATGCTTTGGGGGTGTTTTTCTGCTAAGGGGACAGGACAATTTTACCGCATCAAAGGGACAATGGACGGGGCCATGTACCGTCAAATCTTGGGTGAGAACCTCCTTCCCTCAGCCAGGGCATTGAAAATGGGTCGTGGATGGGTATTCCAGCATGACAATGACCCAAAACACACGGCCAAGGCAACAAAGGAGTGGCTCAAGAAGAAGCACATTAAGGTCCTGGAGTGGCCTAGCCAGTCTCCAGACCTTAATCCCATAGAAAATCTGTGAAATGAGCTGAAGGTTCGAGTTGCCAAATGTCAGCCTCGAAACCTTAATGACTTGGAGAAGATCTGCAAAGAGGAGTGGGACAAAATCCCTCTTGAAATGTGTGCAAACCTGGTGGCCAACTACAAGAAACGTCTGACCTCTGTGATTGCCAACAAGGGTTTTGCCACCAAGTACTAAGTCATGTTTTGCAGAGGGGTCAAATACTTATTTCCCTCATTAAAATGCAAATCAATTTAAAACATTTTTGACATGTGTTTTTCTGGATTCTTCTGCTGTTATTCTGTCTCTCACTGTTCAAATAAACCTACCATTAAAATTATAGACTGATCATGTCTTTGTCAGTGGGCAAACGTACAAAATCAGCAGGGGATCAAATACTTAATTCCCTCACTGTACACCAAATACATTTAAACTCTGTTTTTCACAGTTCCTGACATTTAATCCTAGTAAGAAATCCCTTTCTTAGGTCAGTTCGGATCACCACTTCAATTTAAGAATGTGAAATGTCAAAATAATAGTAGAGTGATTTATTTCAGCTTTTATTTCTTAAATCACATTCCCAGTGGGTCAGAAGTTTACATACACTCAATTTGTATTTTGTACCATTGCCTTTAACGTGTCGGGTAGCCTTCCACAAGCTTCCCACAATAAGTTGGTTTAATTTTGGCCCATTCTTCCTGACAGAGCTGGTGTAACTGAGTCAGGTTTGTAGGCCTCCTTGCTCGCACACGCTTTTTCAGTTCTGCGCACACATTTTCTGTAGGATTGAGGTCAGGGCGTTGTGATGGCCACTCCAATACCTTGACTTTGTTGTCCTTAAGCCATTTTGCCACAACTTTGGAAGTATGCTTGGGGTCATTGTCCATTTGGAAGACCCATTTGCGACCAAGCTTTAACTTCCTGACTGATGTCTTGAGATGTTGCTTCAATATATCCACATAATTTTCCTTCCTCATGATGCCATCTATTTTGTGAAGTGCACCAGTCCCTCCTGCAGCAAAGCACCCCCACAGCATGATGCTGCCACCCCCATGCTTCACGGTTGGGAAGTGTTCTTCGGCTTGCAAGCCACCCCCTTTTTTCCTACAAACATAACGATGGTCATTATGGCCAAACAATTCTATTTTTGTTTCATCAGACCAGAGGACATTTCTCCAAAAAGTATGATCTTTGTCCTCATGTGCCGTTGCAATCCATAGTCTGGCTTTTTATGGTGGTTTTGGAGCAGTGGCTTCTTCCTTGCTGAGCGGCCTTTGAGGTTATGTCAATATAGGACTTGTTTTACTGTGGATATAGATACTTTTGTACCTGTTTCCTCCAGCATCTTCACAAGGTCCTTTGCTGTTGTTCTGGGAGTGATTTGCACTTTTCGCACCAAGGTACGTTTGTCTCTAGGAGACAGAACGCGTCTCCTTCCTGCGTGGTCCCATGGTGTTTATACTTGCGTACTATTGTTTGTACAGATGAACGTGGTAGCTTCAGGCATTTGGAAATTGCTCCCAAGGATGAACCAGACTTTGGATGTCTACAATTTTTTTCTGAGGTCTTGGCAGATTTCTTTGGATTTTCCCATGATGTCAAGCAAAGAGGCACTGAGTTTGAAGGTAGGCCTTGAAATAGATCCCCAAAAAAATGTGTGGAGTGGTTAAAAAACGAGTTTTAATGACTCCAACCTAAGTGTATGTAATCTTCCGACTTCAACTGTATATCTTTTTTTTAATACATGTAAAATTGTGAATGTCTCAATCTTGTGGGATCACTGTCAGTAAAATAAAATGTTTTATAAGAGGATTCCTATTTGGTGTTCACTTTTCTAGTACTTATCTAGTATTTTCACTAACAAAAATTTGACGCGGAAGTAGTTTATTTTGCAGACAGATTTCAATTTTGGTTGATGGGTCCATGGTTGATGTAGCTAGCTTTTAGAATAAAATTCACATTCATAGACTTTTAACATTGACTCGTTTTTTTAACGACCCTCAATGTCGACCTGCATCACCCTTCAGACACAACTAACCTCGATCATGGAGGTTTTAGCCAAAGCAGCAGTGGCAGAACTTATCGCTGACAACTATATTACATTTAGAAATATCTCGGAACCAAAATGAAATGCTGAGGAGAAAATTGCTACTGGTGGAGAATGAACTGAAGATTGGGAGGATTCCATGACAAACTGGTGATACCATATCAAATATTGTGCGCATAACGTTAGCTCCAAAGCGCACAGGTAGCTAGGCCTATTGTTCTTTGTAGATAAGGCTATTCTAAATAATACCTAAGTATTTGTGTTCATGTGTATTAACATATGATATAGAAATATACACTGAACAAAAATATAAATGCAACATGCAACAATTTCAAAGATTTTACTGAGTTACAGTTCATTTAAGGAAATCAGTCAATTGAAATAAATTCATTAGGCCGTAATCTGGATTTCACATGACTGGGAATACAGATATGCATTTGTTGGTCACAGATACCGTAAAAAAAGGTAGGGGCATGGATCAGAAAACCAGTCAGTATCTGGTGTGACCACCATTTGCCTCATGCAGTGCGACACATTTTACATTTACATTTTAGTCATTTAGCAGACGCTCTTATCCAGAGCGACTTACATCTCCTTCGCATAAAAATAAATAATAATCTCCTTCGCATAGAGTTAATCAGGCTGTTGATTGTGGAACATCCCACTCTTCAATGGCTGTGCGAAGTTGCTGGATATTGGCGGGAACAGGAACACGCTGTCGTACACGTCGATCCAGAGCATCCCAAACATGCTTAATGGGTAACATGTCTGAGTATGCAGACCATGGAAGAACTGGGATATTTTCAGCTTCCAGGAATTGTGTACAGATCCTTGCAACATGGGGCCATGCATTATCATGCTGAAACATGAGGTGTCATTGTTCTCTCTGCTCTGCACGTAGTAACCAGAAAAGTGTTAAACAAATCAAAATGTATTTTTATATTTTAGATTATTCAAATAGCCTTGATGACAGCTTTGCTCACTCTTGGCATTCAACCAGCTTCACCTGGAATGCTTTTCCAACGGTCTTGAATGAGTTCCCACATATGCTGAGCACTTGTTGGCTGCTTTTTCTTCACTCTGACTCATCCCAAACCATCTCAATTTGGTTGAGGTCAGGGGATTGTGGAGGCCAGGTCATCTGATGCAGCACTCCATCACTCTCCTTCTTGGTAAAATAGCCCTTACACAGCCTGGAGGTGTGTTGGGTCATTGTCCTGTTGAAAAACAAATGATAGTCCCACTAAG